TATCTGAGTTTACCACACAGATCCTAAATGTTCAACTTACTTAGCCTTTTCATGCACCTAAGAATCAACTTATTCAGAAAAAATCTGTTAACAAAATAAAAAATTGTAGGTACTACTCCAAAGGGACCCATTTTTGACCACACGCATACTCATTGTTCAGAATTTCCAGGATGTCAAACGTACATGTAGATTCACTATGTCAGACTAAAATGTAATAAATCTGGTGTTAAATGATAGATATTGACGTGGTCTCTCATTTAGATGTGCTTTTGTTGACTATTTGTGCAACAGACCATGTTACCAGCCAGGAGTTAAAAGTAACACATTAGACAATTGGTGAACATTTAGAAACAAGTGTTTGTTAAAACTGAAAGGCTTTCACAGTGCTTTTCTTTGATTAGCTTGAACTTCAACCAATTCTAAAGAAGAATTATTGTAAAATCTGAGAAAATAATGAATCAATTTAATACAGCTTTATGTCTAATAGTATACCATACTGAGCACAAGTAAACTTCACACACAGAAAAGTGCATCRTCTATGTCTCAAAACCTACCAAATGCTTCTTGGTAAGTGTCATTGTTCTGAARGAGCTTCATGCCTTTCACTTTCCCTTTTCCCTTAAAGGCACTTGTACTGTCACATTCTGTGTAGGCATATAGACCTAGCAGAGCAGAACACATTTTTGGTGAGAAGGGTTGAGTTAGCCCTGTAACATGTATGCAGCAATTTAATTTTCCTTAGTTGAAGCCATATACCGTTACTGACATTTGTTCTGCCCACCTTGRKCCATTAATTTTTTWAAATTATCCTTATTTGATAGGAACAATTTCCAGTCTTTTGGTCGCTTTAARCAATAAAAGCATGAAGATCTTTCAAAACAGTGAGGCTTACTAAGAGGCATTTGGCAAGTTTGGAGACAAATGGGAAGGAGATGATTCACTCTTCTGTGAGTGATAAGTTCAAGTCTTATTGTGTTACTTTTAACACCTGGCTGGTAACATGATCCGTTGCATAAATAATCAACAAAATCATATCTAAATGAGAGACCACGTCAATGTTTATCATTTAACACCAGATTAATGACATTTTATTCTGCCATAGTGAATCTACATGCAAGTTTGACATCCTGGAAATTCTGAACTGTGCACACAATAAGTAGGGAGTGTGGTCAAAAAGTGGTCCTTTGGAGTAGTACCTACAACTTTAATTTTGTTAACAGACTTTTTTCTGAATATATAGATCCTATGGTGCATGAAAAGGCTAAGAAAGTTAGAAATTTAGGATCTGTGTGGTAAACTCAAAGAAAATATGAAAATTTTCATCTTCTGTTGGTGTTGTGACATTTTGACCCTCTGACATATTTGCAAATTTTTTAATGAAATGTAATTTAAAGCAAAGACCTAATTGATATGAATCTGCTGATACCTTGTTTGTAAAATTTGTTTGGTTTATAGCAAAGTTATTGGCAGTTAAGGTCCATGTACCCCTAACTTTGATGRTCAGAATRGAAAAGGTGTGTGGCCAAAGCTGTCTCTGGGGGGCAGTGARACCCAACTTTTTTTCTGTTAACATGCTTTTTTTGAAAGAGTGGACCCTAGGGTACAYGAAAACACCTGAGACGTTCGGTAGTGGGGTGTGCATGGTGACCCACCCTAACACGCAAACTAATAAGATAAATATTTTCATATTTTTTGGGGTAGTGACATTYCAACCCCCTGATGGCATCATCGAGCGCATATTTGTTTAATGAAATGTAGTTTAAATTAAAGAGCTAATCAATATGAATCAGCTGATACCTTGTTTATAAAATTTGTTTTTTTATAGCAAAGTTATTGGCAGTTACGTTTCCTGAATATATTTAACTTTGGGCGTTTACGCACTGCAGGGCCGGCCCCGGCCCGGCCTGACTTCTAACCCGGGTTCAGCGGTTGTGCATAAGCATAGTAGGGCCGGATCCGGCCCAGTTTGACGAGTTATTTGTTTTGCTCTGACGAGTCAAAACGAGTCTGGCAAGTCATTAAAAAGCATATAGATCTCTGAAAAAGCAACTGCTTTCATAACGGTAGCATGTAACAAGCTAATATTGCTAGCTTACTCGTCGATGCCGTCTGCGTCTCGCTATAGCCGCTTTCTGTTGCTGTTGTATGGCCAAGTACAGCCTTCGGAAACTCTCCGTTCTTCTGCAAATCACCATTCGTCGTCTAACTCGACGTTTAAGGACCGTTACGCGCGCTTTTCCGGTAAACAGTTCCCACCCACTTCGAGGTGGCTCTGATGACAGTGCACCGTAGCCCACGGACTAAAAAGATTTTGCCTATAATTTTCTATAGAAAAAACTTTTGTTGAACCTTCTAAAYATGGTAACTGGTAGCTCCATACTTTGAATAATAAAGTTTTAAGTAAAAATGTCAGTCAATTAAAAAACAAATGAAYAGCTGGAAATAGAGTTCAACCAACCAATGGTCAACATAATATTTACTTGCTATTAAGCAGACGGAAAGTAGACTGCATTTTCTTAAGGAAAGCATTTGAAAGTTGGTTTAAAAACATGTAAATTACTATGACAAATGTCTGATTATTTCTGCAGTGTCCACTCCAGAAAATGTCACCTATAAAAGATGTAGTGGATGTCCTGTCCAAAGTGAAGGCCATGGCTCTGGCTGACAGGGCCATGTTTGAGAAAGGCATGAAGGCCTTTGTCTCATATGTTCAGGCCTACGCCAAACACGAGTGCAGCCTCATCTTCAGAGTCAAAGGTGAAGCTAAAAAAAAAAACAATGCATGGCATTTTGAGGATTAATGTAAGATTATATTCAAATATTCTTTTTGTCTAGATCTTGACTTTGCCTCTCTGGCCCGTGGTTTTGCAATGATACGCCTGCCAAAGATGCCGGAGCTGCGGGGTAAATCGCTTCCTGACTTCACAGAAACAGAGGTGGACACAGACAGCATCCGCTACAAGGACAAGAACAGGGAAAAGCAGAGAAAGAAGATGCTGATTGAGCTGAAAGAAAAAGGCTCGGCAAACCTTCCTAAAAAGAGATTCATAAAGAATAAGGCCTGGTCCAAACAGAAGAGCAAGAAGGAGCGCCGGAAAAAACTGGCAGCCAAGAGGAAACACAATGAGGTATTTTCATACAGGCATGAAACACAAGTAGGTATGGGTCAGATACTGAAACTAAACAACTAACATATTTCTGTTATATCGTTCTTAATTTTAAATGCCTAAAAAAAAAGGAAATGAGATGGATGATATTTTTACACTCCCTCTTCYTGGGCTGCTACCTTATTGTGGTGGAGAGGTTTGACTGTCCCAGCTATGTTGTCCAGGGCTTTATGGCCTTGATAGCATCACCCAAGGCAAACAGGTTCTAGGTGAGGGATCAGACAAAGTGCAGCCCACTTAAGACCCCTTATGATGAGTGCCTCAAAAGGACCAAGTGTTCCCGCACCCGGATGTGGGTCACTTTGGAGGTGGGGCACGTTGGCAAGCGCTTGGTGGCCGGGCTTTCGCCCATGGAACCTGGTTGGGCACAGCTCGAAGAGGAGACTTGGTTCCCCCTTACCATGGGCTCACCACCTGTGAGAGGGGCCAAAGGGGTTGGGTGCATTGTGTGTTGGGCAGTGGTCTTAGGCGAGGACCTTGGCGGTCTGATCCTGAGCTACAGAAGCTGGCTCTAGGGATATAGAATGTAGGGGTGGGAATCTTTTACTGTCACGATTCGATTTGATTCCAATTTTGGGGGCCACGATTCGATTCAAAATCGATTTTCGATTCAAAACGATTTGATTTATAAAAAAATCTGCTTCAGTCTATAGAATCTGCATGATCTACTCCAGTCTGCTTTGCAAGACAGAGTGACAAATACAGACAATAAAGTGTCTTTTTCACGTTTAAGGTTTGAACATATCAGCTTAAATGTAACTTTTTCAACCATTGCATAAAGGCAATATAACATATTACTTAAGTAACAAAAATAAAAGTGAACCATTGTTAGAAAAATAATGCAATTAAAACATTCTGCCTTTTAAATTTTAAGGAAAGTGTCTTTTAAAAAATCATGCCTGGACCAGAGCTATAAAATAAGTTGGAACTAAATTGCTTTGTAAATAAAGTGAACAATGTGCACTTTTCTTTCCACAGGAAAGTAGCAGTACCAAAAGTACAACATGGAACACTACTTTTGCACAAATGAAAAACTAATAATTATTTTCAGTAGCTTTAAGAAAAAGTGAAAATTAAACTTTTTTTAACTGAAAAATAGCACCAGTAAAGTAGCTCCCTCTACATTTACCAAATTTCCCTCTGGGATCAATACAGTATTTTTGAATTGAATTGAATTGAATTTTTCATGAACATGTCTCCTGCAACATAAGAACTTTCTTCGTAAAGCTGTGGCACAGCTGTTTCAGTGAAAAACTTACGGGATGGTTATAGCATACCTCGCTGTTTGCAACATGTATATAAGCCCCTCCTCTTTCTCCACCACTCTGTAAGGCCATAAGTCTTTGTCGATGAAGCAGGCGATAGACCTGGTTATTTTATTTTATTTTTTTGCCCRCTCCGAACTGGTGGACAGTTTAGTGAAAGACTGCAGTGTGCGTTGGTCTGCTGCTGGTGGCTGACTMTGCTCCGAATCCTTTAACTCCRAATGATGCCTGGTTATGTGAGCTCGCGCATTTGTTGTGGTCCCTAAGTATTTGATCTTCATTTTGCAAACCTTGCACACTATAAAGTTCACGTCAAGCTCAGTCTTCCCCAGCATTCGGTAAAAACCAAAATGTATCCATATTTTTGCCTTCAATGAAGACGGGACCTGTTGAATCT